AGAAGAGTCCACCGACAGCCCGAATTCACGTTGATAATTATGACAAATAAGACCCTTTATCTCTTCACCATTTTCACACTGCTGTTGTATACGTGTGTTATAGTTTCTCTGTGCGAGAAAAGTGCAAATGTTTGTAAATAATTGTGTGCATGACTTAGCAGTATAAAAAATCTCTTTGAAAACAAAGCATTTTTGTCATTCCTTTTCTTTCGGCTATTCTGTTCCATCTGTATTAAGCCCTGATCACAACTTTACCGGAGGTAGAGAAAAATGACAATACCCAGACACCGGTTGAACGGTGGGTAAACACTTGCGTTGTGTTTTGCTATTGGTTGTCTTATTTTGAAGAGCCATTCAGAAAAGCCGTAATATTCTGATGTCAGCAAACGTTATACCAACATGTCCGCGCCTTTTCATTGTGTTTTGTGCATGTGTTTTGGATAAAAAAAGATCGTTTTCACCATGAAGCGTGCTGAGTCTCAACCTGGACCGCCAGAGAAGCAATCAGAGACAAAACATACGAGTAAAGAACTCTACACAGCGCAGCAAGTAATTGATATGCTTGATGTTTTATCGGAACTAGAGTATGACAGTGATTACCCTGATAGTGAAATGGAATTCGAATTGGATGATTTTGCTACAGATAGTGAACATGGAACTGAGCATGCAGAATCATCTGATCAAAGGATGCGTGTCATCACAGACTCCGGTGATGTTAGAGAAGATGAAAGGCAAGTAGATCGAGATGGTTTGAATAAGCAATATGAGACAAATGACATCGAGTTTGATGATTCTGAATGCGGAGCAAAGAACATTCCAGAAAGTATCAACGATAGCTCTCGTGCAATTGATTACGTCAACTTATTTCTGGATGTCGAGTTCTGGCAAAACTTTGTAAACAAAACAGACCAGCGCGTAGATCAGATCAAGGAAGCAAAGCCTGACTACTACTACGGCAAGATATTTAAAGATAAACTGACTGAAGTAGAAGTAAAGGCTTTCCTTGGGCTGACATTGCATATGGAAACAACAGTAATCAAGCCTCAATTCAGGTAGTACTGGGAATTGAGTGGACAGAACTTTCTGTCAGAAACATCGGGTTTTCCAAAAGTAATGTCAAGAAACAGATTTCTTTCCATCTGGGATTTTCTTCATGTTATTGATGAAACTGAGGCTACAACTGAAAAAGCAGATGCCATCTACAAGGTCAGACCAATGCTAAATTCACTGTTGGAGAAATTTCGACACTATATATTCCCAGATAACACCTCAGTTTGGACGAGGGAAGAATTGCACCCAAGAACAGACTTGCCATCAAACAATACATCAAAGACAAACCATCCAAATTTGGTGTGAAGTCTTTGATGCTGTGAAGGAGAAACTCGATACATAGTGGAAGCGGAGATCTACATCGGCAAAATAGCACAGGAAGCTGATAGAATTGGAGAAATTGACAACGTTATGTATCGCCTACTGACTTCAGAGGAAGCATCACATCCTTGTAATGGACAGATATTACAACAGTGTGAATTTGTTCCAGTACTTGTTGTCAATGTAGAATACTCTCGTGCTGGGAACACCCTGACCAACAGAAAGAAATACCCTCAAAGCCTGAAAATAAAGAAAATGAAAAATCTTGGTGACAGTGACTTCCAATGCAAGGATGGCGTCATGGTAATGGTGTGGAATGACAGAAAGGCCATCAATTTCCTGTCAATATGCCACGACCCCTGAAAAAGTGCTGAGCGTAGAAACAAAGATGGCACAGTGATTCAGATCAAAATGCTTCAGGTGGTCAGTGACTACAATCACTACATGGGGGGTGGGGATGACAGAAATGGCCAGATGACACGTTTGTACAAGACACGCTGTCATCATGCTGTCATCACCGCTGGCCAAGACGTCTCTTTGTCAAGTTTATCATGTGGGCCATCTACGATGGAGATGTTTTGTTCCAGGCAACTTTGCCCCCAGCAAGCCAAGTCTCTCAGCTTCAGAAAGTTCCTAGATCAATACTGCGTGGATCTGGTGGGTGCATTTTAGCAAGGTGCAGTGCGCAGGCAGTCAGTCATTCAGTGCTGATGCTCTGGAACGCCTGCAAAATGTCTAACTCCACCTACCAGAGACACCAGAAGATGCCCCCACTAACAAGCTCTGCGCTGTGTGCTCTTATAAATACAATAAATTCGAGCAGAAAAATCCAACTATTGCCTACAAAGACTATCCTGTCAATGCTGTGAAGTCTAGCGTATCTTGTGCATCAAGGGAGACATCGCCTGTTGGGTAGACTGGCAAACAAAGAAAGAATTCTGGCGATAAAGTGAAGGCATGCATTCATACTCTCTCCCTGCTAAGTATAATGCTTATAATTTTGTAGCTATTTTCATATCTACCGTGAAACATTACATACCAATTATTTGCGAATTTTGACTCCGGCAGAAGGGTTAAAATTGTTCAGAAACACAGGGCTCAATGGGTTAAGATGTTACTATATTACGGATATAATAATGCCTATAATAGAGGAAATGAAAATAGGAAATATCCTTTTCCCGCATAGCTGACCCCATTACTTGTAAATGAGGTAATATAATTGATTTATTGCACAATAAACTACGAAGTCACTCCTGAAATTGTCCAGAAAAGAACAGTGGAAAGTTTTGCATCTACCTAATAAAAACCTGTTGTGATAAATCATATTCTCAGCGTTTTTCAAAACAAGAAAAATTCGTTAGAAACAATGAAAAGAGTATTGTCCTGCTATGTAGTATCAATCGTCCTATATTGCAATGAATGTTAGACATTTTCCTCGCAGATGAAAAGAAGAATTAAGGGAACTAAAAGGTGACTCAACGGAAAGTTGTTGACAATACCATGGACGGAGCATGTGAGCAACGAGGAAGTTTTAAGAAAAAAAAATGACTTACACTTAGAATCAGAAAGAGGCACTAGAAATGTTTTGGGTACACAATGAAGAAAGGTGGCTTGGAGAATTTGACACTCACACGGCATTTTTAACGCAAGAGTGACAGAGAGAAACCAGGTAACGTATCTGACAATTTGGTGTAAATTTATGGCAGACAGCGATTGGAAATGATATTAAAAAGCAAATATTGTTAAGATCTAGAAGTTACAGGAAGTTGCAGAGAGCCATGTTTGTCTATGTCATGAAGGGATATATGGCTCATCAGTGAACAAAAAAAAAAAGGTTGTCTTTTTACAACTGACTAGAATCCAGTTTGGAATACAATAAAAAGGACAGGAATATTTTATGCCGAGAAAGTTCTACAAATTTATTGAACATATTACCAACTGACTGTTAATGAATCCGTGGGTAGCAAGGTAGTTTTCGCTGTACAAGTTTTCGTGTAGAGGTAGGTTAGTATGACCTGCATATTTTTATACAACATCAATTGTAAGAAGGCAGAATACATGTTCGATAGCAAAAGGGACAGTCCAAGAAGTAACTTACAAATTGGAGATAGCAGAATCAAACAAGTACAAAAGTTTAAATGTCTGAAAAGCGTTTTGACAGAGGACGTAAAGGTCGATATTGAAATCCGAAGGCGCATTGCGCAAGTATTAAGAAACAGGAAAAATTTCGTTAAAAAAGAGCACTGAACTGTTATGTGATATCAGTCCTCCTATATGGCAGTGAACGCTGGACAATCTCCTCATAGATGAAGAGACTTGAAACAACAGAAATGTGGTTCTACAGAAAGATGCGGACAATGCCATGGATCGAATATCTGAGTAACGAAGAGGTTTTGGAGAAAATGGAACCAAAAAGAACATTTAATTATCAGGAAGAGATAGCTGAAATTTATAGGGCGCACAAAGAGAAAAGGCGATTGGAAAATTTGACACTCACAGGACAAATTCAAGGCAGGAAGAATAGAGGAAAACAAGGCATAGACCCACCTAGCGAGCTTGAGTAAATTGATGACAGGTTTGGGAGTGATAGCAAAAAGACAAAATCTATTAAGAGCTCGGAATGACAGGAAATTAGGGGAGGGGGGAGAGAGCCATGATTACCAATATTCTGAAAGGACGCGGTGCATAGAAGAAAAAGAAAATTTCTCCGTCGTAATACTTTAAATTTTGTCAGTGCTAAATTCAATTATCTGGGTAAAATACGATGAGAAAGGTGACACAGCAGTGCAAAGGAAGAGCGAAAGATGTCTTCTAGAAACTAAGCAAAGCATTAGGAGATAAAATAAAATATTGTAAGAAACATAGAAAAAGAATTCTGAACTGTTACGTAATATTTAATCTCGCATATGTCATGAATGTTAGACAATTTCCGTACAGATGAATAAGAGATTTAACGCAACATGGAGGTGGTTCTACTGACGAATACTAAGAATATCATGGACAGATCATGTGAGCAACGAGGAAGTTAACTATTAAAAATGGATAAAATTTTTAAGACGCATAAGGAAAGAAGTTCTGGAGAATTTAACACTCACAGGGCATAAAGGGGAAAGAGCGGGAATTCTACTTGATGAGTTTACATAACTTGATGGGAATACATGGACACAGAGGGTGGTAAAGGGTTGTAAATTACGGAGAGTAATAAAAATAGGAAGGTGTGGAGGCTTATCATCGCCTTTGTCCTAAAAGGACACGGCGCATAAAAGAAGTCGTTGCGATCCATTAACAGATCCGTGACTAGTAAGGTTGTTTGTAACAAGAGATTCTACATAATTTATAAACAAGGTAAGGTTATTTATTTAGCTTACTCTCGCATAAGCACATAGTGATGAAGCACCCATTGAGAATGGATTTCACTGTTATAACAAATTGGTCTTTGAGAGGAATTTAACCACTGCACTAATTTAGGCGCCTAAGTATATAACAAGCGCGCATGCGTATAAAATTGAAAAAAAAAATCGTTGAATGCTATCAAAGTTTATTGTAGTTTTTTGATATTTTTAAGAGTAATCTTTGGATTGAGTTAAAACTACAGCTTATACAAAGCATTTGCTTTCCTTTGTCTCTAGACAGGTGTATTTTTGAAGGTTTGAGGAGAACCCAGAACCTGGAGTATTGAGATGAAAAGTCGCATTAAAGAGGCTGATATTACAGATATAAATGATGGGTTCTGAAATATCCAAGTTCCTTCCTCCTATAATGGACTACAATTCACCGAATGAGGTAAGTTATTTAAAAATCATATCATAAATTGAAAACGTTTACATGCATAAAGTTTACTATGGAAACTAATGATTCAACGCCTCTTTAAGCCCTGAAAAATACGGGAAGGCAGTGTATTCGGCTTTGTATAGACACTGAACTTTGAATCGTTGAAGAACCATATTGTACACGATGTAAGATATATAACATTTGTCTTTAAGACACAGATGATGGAGCATTTACTTTCAAACAAAGAATGCATCCGAATCGATTCCAACCCTGTCAAGAATACAGAGAGGAAATAAGAGTAGCCATCTTCTTAATCGCTTCCTAGACTATGCGCATGTACAAGCACAGACAGGGAGAAACAAGCCGAGAACATTTAGATATACCACCCCATATTCTAAAAAAAAAAAAAAAAAAAAAAAATCTACAAATAGAAAACAATTATCCATCTTTTCCTCTAGTACCGACGATGAATATAACAATGCTGTTGACATATGTATTCACTGTTGTTATAAGAATGATCTTGAACCAAAATATTGACATTCTTTATCAAGTGTTCCAAGAAGTAGGGCTCAAGATAATGTTTCCCAAAAAGAAACTATGATTTGGAATGAAAGTAGTAATGACATATACCTCGAATTAATTGTAAAAATTCAGGATATGGAATTGATAAATTTTAAGCACTTCACATATCTTGGTGTACGGATCATTTATAAAAGATTTACTATAGGTGATAAGGAAATTGAAAACATGATACGTTGCGCTAGGGATACTTTTTCCCAACACCGTAAGATGCTACAAAACTAAATTATTATCCTGAAAACTCGAATCATGTCCTTAAATAGCCTCGTCAGATCTAGACTCTCATGTGGATGTCATGCATAGCATCGAACTCGTTCAGAAATCTCTAAACTATCAGCTATAAAAATGGCATGATGCAGATGAATCCGTGTGATCTTAAAGAAGAAAATCTATCACCAGGTCCTTTACACTGGCACTACAAAATCACTAACAAAGTGCTTTATTAAATAGCAAAAACATCACTTCAAAACTTCCAACAGCAGCAACAACAAAAATGGATAGCAGACGTAACTAGGAGGGAAAATAATGATATAATCAAAATGTTGACTTTCCACACTACCTTAAACAAAAGATCAGGAAGGAAACTCCAATCAATACTAAAAAGAGCAATAACAGTGGACTTTAAAGTCTTATTTCCTGAAAAAAGGTTATATAAATTTTATCCGGTAGTACCGGAAACTGTTCAATGAATATCGAATGTTTCTTGATTGAAAACGGCTAATTTCACCTTTATCTTCATTCGACACTGAAAATACGATCACCATTTATTTCTAAAGACATGTATACATCACTTCTCTTTCCCTAACAAATACATGTCAATGAACAAAGCGAAAAAATAGGATATATTTTCCAGAAAAAAAAAAAAAAAGATTTTTTCCAAGCCGTATCCTGTTTCTGATGCAATTTGTGAAGATACCGTACAAATATATTATATCGATAAACCTCTGTGTATCTGTTGTGGAGTGATTTCACAGTGGAGACTTGTATTTGTACTAAGTCGGTCCTAAAATAGGTTCGACGTAAAAAAACGTTAGGAACTTGATATAATAGGTATAACGCAGAGTAATCTACTTGTGGTCGCTGATACTTTAGTATTCGACTAACTGTCGTCCAGCATCGACTGACTCACCGACTGAGCGGCTCCTACTTATTATAGGTGGGAGAGTCTATTAACTATAGAATAGGTGTGTTCCACTATGACTGTATCTTATATCAGTGTTTCCTCATTGTAATTCTTTTTTTTATTATTAAGTTGGCTTATTTCTACACAGTCAGGAAGCATCCAACTTTCAAAGCAAATACTTTTACGAACGTAAGTTCTCTTCTATAGGTTACAGTAGGACACCTAATACTTCAACAAATTTCGATTCCACTAAAAATTATAATAAAAAAGACCTGAAGATAAAAAAAGCCTGAATCTCGGAGTTGCCTGTAATGTCATTTTAATTTCGATATAATCTCTCAAACATTGTCGGTATTCCTGGTGTCAAAGTACATAATTTATGGATGCTGGCAACAAAGCGTTAGTGCAGGTCTCTCTATGAATGCCACTTGTACTCTAGGACTATTTCCCGCATGCTCGTGTCAACGGCGACTAAACCAGTTCTCCTCCTACCAATCCGTTGAGGACAGGGGTTAAAAACTCCAGCAGGATTAAAAAGAAGACCCTTCGAAGGGAGGATGAACTATTTTTGTAAGGTTAACGGCAATAAACAGAAAAACGTCGTTAGAAACAAAGAAAAGAGTACTGGACTGTTACATAATATCAGTCCTCCTCTATGAATGTTGGACAATATCCTCACAGATGAAGAGGTGACTTGAGGCAGTAGAAATATGGTTCTACAGGAAGATGCTGAGGATACCATAGACCGAACATGTGAGAAACAACGAAGTTTTGGAGAGAATCGAAACAAGGACACTTTTACTTAACATCAGGAAAAGACAGTTGAAATTTCTAGTGCATATAATGTGGAAAGAGGGCTTGGAAAATCTGATACTCACAGGACAAAATTGAAGGCAAAGGACAGAGGTAAAAATGCATAAAAAAGACAAAAAAATTATTAAGAGTTACAAAGGACAGGAAGTTTGGGAGAGCTATGGTCGCCTACGTGCCGAAGAAACACGTCACATAGAGGAAGAAGAAAAATGGTTATCTAGCTTAATGGCATAAACTGGACTTCATAGTTATGTATAGAACCTATCGGTGAAAATAAAGCGTTTTTCAGACATTGATCTATTTTCGAGTAAAGAAAAAAGAAAATCAAACTTTAATAATGACAATAATAATAATCATACATACCATGGTGTTAAATCTGAGTCAAGAATGAAAATTCTATCTTGTTAATTTACAGACCGATGCTCTTACCTTTAAGAATACTTGCAAGTGCAAGGAAAATACTTTGATATTGTTTTTAGGCATCAGCTATCAAAAGTCAGTCAAGTAATCAAATGACACGAACGAATAAATGGACTCCCACAAAGCAAATCGATTTCGTTTCGAGTTTGAAAGAAAAAGCTCAACCAAGAAGCAATACAAATTTTCAGCTTGAAATAACCAATTACGTATGTTAACATTTGTAGGATGTTCATTCAAAGGCAAATGTAGGGAAAAAAAGGATTAACTTCGAGCCAGGCTCCTGTAAAAATTGTTACCATAGACTGAAAAAGGAAAATGTTAGATACACTAAGCCTTTTATGTTCATGGCATTTAGAACATGTTATATTCCGTGCTAATAAGAATAGATACTTGAAAAACACAGAAATGTCTGAATTGAAAATTTATTATATACTGTTGATTTCGAGAAGTTAATGTACATCGTTAATATTTTGTGTGGCTTCCTTTACCTTGGATAATTGGTTCAATGTGCCTGGGATGAGATGCGTAAAAATAATTCACCATCTTCATAGGCACTAGGTACTATTTCCCGTGGTTGAGATTCCACAACTCAAGATCGCGTGGATTCTTCTAATGAATTCTGCTCAATGGTTCTGTTAACATTTGATCCATGGTTTTAATCATGGCTCTAATCTGTTCATTCTTTCAATACAGTAACACAATTATCAATCAGTGTCTATTGTGTTGCATGCAATCTGGAATGTCCTCATGCTAAAAATTCGTTTTCATCTAAGTCTGGTATCAAATGTTCTTTCTGCAACAGAATATATTTGCCACTATTCAAGGTATCGTTAATTTTAAACAATTCTTTTGAATCATCCCTTTTTATGCAACTCTTAAGCATCAGGCTCATAACACACACACACACACACACACACAAATCACTGCTTTCGTGGTGTAATGTGGGTCATTTCGACCCACATTACACCACAAAAGCAGTGATTCCTGTAGGAATTCAGCCAAATTCACTTACTACAAGGCAGTTCTATCTTTGTTTCATCTTACTCCAAGAATCTGAATTCCACCGTTCATATCATTTTGACCAACTTACTGTTGTCTTCAAATGGATTTTGTTTAAAGCCGATTTCTTCATTGAAATAAAACACTTCCGTCTAGGTCCTTGAAAGATGCACTTAGTGTTATCTACTGACACATAAATGAAAATGTTGCACTCATCCATTATTTCAACATCTGCCTATATTTTTGAGATGAGGTATTGTAACCATTTACATTGTTCGGTCTGTTGTCCTCATATTTATTGCCATATTCACGACGTTTCGGCCGATGTATGCTCCAGATTTCTTCATGTGATATTTATTAGAATTTCGAATCGAGCCACACGGGGGTAGATTGTTTTAATTCCATGTGCCATGCATTTGGATATCTTCGTTTTAGTTAATTCACTTTGGGAACATAACTCTCCAATTTTGTTCTCTCTGCTGTGGCCAGGGATTGAACTTTGGATCAAGTCACTTTTGGATCAATCAGCTATGCTTATCTTGGGAACGTCGTGAATATAGCAATAAAAATGCGGACAACAGTCTGAACAATATATATAGTGTAAATACCCATCATTTGTCTATTAGTCTACTTACACTGAGTATTTTGCTGTCCTGATCAGTCACCTGAATGTTGCAGCTTTCCAAATTAACCAATAGTTTGGTCGTTTCAAAATAAACTTTCAATGCTTTGATGCTTCTTGAGATTTCAAGTTCCTTCGCGATTGCTTGCTGGTTCCGTCTTATTGCTATGGGACCCACCTTTATGGACTAAATGGACTCGTCCTATTACTATATATACGGGGAGATTATGCTGTCTACAGTTGACTTGTTACAGATAAACAGTCGAACTCTCTGCCTTCGGGCGGAGAGGAACCCGGCCGAGGCCCCGCCGAAAGGCAGTCTCGTTCGGTAAGGTTGACTGCCCCTGAACCCGTTTATGCGGGTTCAAAGAGGGATTATTTTTGGCCGAGCCTACGGGCTCGGAGATCCCACGTTAAACAGGCCTTGTGCCACATGTAACCCTCGTGGGCGGCGGG